TCCTTTTGCCATGTTTCTGTGAGGAACATAAAATCCATCTTTTCCGTGAAGATAAGATCGTTGATGGCATGTGCCTTGTTTGTGATAGAACGAGCATTTAGCAGCGCTAAACGGAGCGATGATGGCAGACCAGTCTCCTTAATAGCAGGTTGTAGTGGCCGTAAACACCTAGTACAGTCACGTGATTTCCAGCGGTGTCGTGGGGCCAATCGCTGGTCAGGCAGGTCGGACACAAACTGCAGTTTACCAACTGCAAGTCCACCGCCGCCCGGCGGTAACCAAAGGGGATCCTGTCCAACGGGCAGGACGCGCCGAAGGCGACCCTGCGACAGAGCGCCCCCGGCACCTACATCCCGAGGAAAAACCGGCAGCAGCCACCGCGGCCGCCGCCCGCAGAGGAGCCCGGGCACCCCCATCGCCGAAGACAGCCTCATCGCGACCCGAACGCCAGCTCTGCAACCCCTTTTCCTTCGTCTCTTCTTTGGATTTCCACGACCCCGAAGCAAAAATCGGTAATCAAATAGGCTGGGTACGCACACCAGCGGGGGTGGAAAAGTTTGACTGTAACTCTCCCAGCTGTTACTGAGTCCTTCCATATACACTCCAATGTTCATCAGGGTGACACGATCGTATGTCAGAACAGCCGTGACACAGTGGTTTAAAGGCAGGGTTAATGTGACCATAAAAGAGACATACACAAACAAATAAAAACAACATAAATGAGAGGCAGCAACGGCCATGCCAAACAAAGGCGCCATCTTGCCCTCACCGCACGTCCCGCACCAGAAGAGGGATCCTCTCCACGGTCAGTTCAATCTATGACCCCTTAGGAATCTTGGCGCCTGTGGTCTTAGCTGCCAAAAAGATCCTTCAAGACTTGTGCAGAAAGGACCTTGGTTGGAATGACCTCATACCAGACTTGTCTGCACAGGAGTGGAGAAGTTGGCTGAAAGAGCTCTGGCAGCTTGAAAAGTTTGAAGTTGACATGCCTAAAACCAATGGATTTTGGGGAAGTGATTTCTGCTCAGTTGCATCACTTTGCTGATGCATGTGAGAGTGGCTATGGAACAGTGACTTACCTGTTATTAAACAACATAGACAGACAAGTTCACTGTGCTTTCATAATGGGTAAAGCTAGAGTGGCTCCATTAAAACCAATCACCATCCCTCGTATGGAGTTGACGGCTGCCATGGTTGCAGGTCGAATGGATGAGCTGTGGAGGAAGGAGCTGCAGATGCAACTTCAGGACTCAATTTTTTGGACTGATAGTACTTCCGTACTGAAGTACATCAGCAATGAGACCACAAGGTTTCGTACCTTTGTAGCTAACCGGGTTTCAAAGATACTGAGTGTGTCAAATCCATCGCAGTGGAGATATGTTAACACCACAAGCAATCCCGCTGATTTAGCCTCCAGGGGAGTAAAGGTGACATCACTCCTGAAAGATAACACATGGGTGTCTGGACCTAAGTTCCTTGTTGGGCCTGAAGAAGGGTGGCCTGAAAACCCAGATGGCTCTATGAGAATCCAGCCAGATGACCCTGAGGTCAAGATGAGTTTGATTGTGAATGCCGTGCAGGCTGAAGAGAAGATCGATGCAGTCACTCGCTTGATTAATTACTTCTCCTCTTGGATCCGTCTGAAGAAGATGGTTGGTTGGTTCCTTAAGCTGAAGAGTCTATTACTGTACTTCAGTCAGAAGAGGAAGCAACTGAGCATGACTCTTGCTCATTCCGGCTTGGATAAGGACCAACAAGGAAAAGAAATAGAAAAGGAGATGCAGAGTATCAAGGCTCAAACTGGTAGTGGTCTTCTTTCAGTTGATGAACTCAGAAGAGCTGAGATGGAGATTATTAAGTTGTCAGAGAAGGAGGTTTCCAGGAGAGTTCAACAGCTTGCAAAAGGGAGAAAGTGTGAAAGGAACTAGTCACATTTACAAGCTCAATCCAATACTTGAAGATGGTGTTCTGAGAGTTGGAGGACGACTTAGCAGAGCGGCCATGCCGGAAGAATCGAAGCATCCTGCTATATTGACAAAAGATTTATACATTTCTGACATAATTCTTCAGCACATACATCAAGAGGTGGGACACAGTGGTCGTAATCACATGCTAGCTAGCCTGCGCCAAAGATATTGGATCCTTGGGGCTAGTGTGGCTATAAGGAAAACCCTGTCTAAATGTATTGTCTGTCGACGACTGCACGCAGCTCCAGGGCAGCAGCAGATGGCAGATTTACCCCGCGACAGAGTTTCTCCAGATGAACCTCCATTCACTCGGGTTGGAGTTGACTACTTCGGACCTTTTGAAGTTAAGCGAGGAAGAAGTACATTGAAGAGGTATGGGGTTCTCTTCACATGCCTTTCCATAAGAGCGATCCACATCGAAGTTGCATCGTCCTTGGACACAGATTCCTTTATTAATGCTCTTCGACGCTTTACAGCAAGACGTGGACAAGTATTAGAGCTGCGCTCAGACAATGGAACCAACTTTGTCGGTGTAGAGAGAGAATTGAGAGAGGCAATGGAAGGTTGGAATCTTGCTTTAATCAACAACACTCTCCTTCAGAAAGGAATTAAGTGGGTTTTCAATCCTCCCACAGGATCACATCATGGAGGGGTGTGGGAAAGGTTGATAAAGTCTGTGAGGAAGGTCCTGAATTCTACCCTGAAGTTGCAGACCCTTGATGAGGAAAGTCTTCACACAGTTCTCTGTGAAGCAGAGGCTATTATTAACAGCCGTCCTATTACCAAGGCATCCACTGATCCCAACGACTTGGAACCACTAACCCCTAACCATCTGTTGCTACTCAAGATCATGCCATCTTTGCCACCGGGTCAGTTCAAAAAGGAGGACATCTACGCTCGTCGCAGATGGAAACAAGTTCAGTACATCTCTGACTTGTTTTGGAAACGTTGGATTAAGGAATACTTGCCTCTTCTTCAGGAGCGTCAGAAGTGGTCTCGTGTCAAGCGCAACTTCCTTACTGGAGATATTGTACTCATAGTTGACGACTCAGCACCTCGCAACTCATGGCTTACAGGAAGGATTGTGCAAACTATCTCTGACAGAAGAGGACTTGTTCGTCAAGTGCAAATTAGGACGAAGACCAGCTATTTGGACAGGCCTATTACTAAGATTTGCCTTTTACAGGAAGTAGAGGAGCCATGAGGATATCCAACTGACCTTTGAACTTCATAGACGTTGACTTTAAACTTGACTGTCATACGGGCCTTTTTCTTTTACATGACTGACTTGGTGGTTGTGAAGATTATTCTTTACAAAGACAAAGGACTCTGTCTCTTTATTTCGTTTGGTCTAAAGAAGAAAGGACACTTTTAAACGGACTGCCTTATCCAAAAAAAAAAATTTGTGTATTGATCTCCTAATGTGCAGTTGTATAATTATTGTGTTAAAATAATTAGGGGCCGGAATGTAGGAGCCAGCGTAAGTCTCCCATGTGTTCTATGTTTATGGTCTCATTTCATAATATTCACAGCACTCGTATTGTGGAGTTTGGGCGGAAGTGATAGTGTCTATATGTTTGCTTCACTGGATCACCTGGGTTTTATGGCTTTGACAGAGAGAGGGGGTGAGCCTGGGAGCGAACACTTTCTGTTGACCGCACCCGCATCCGCATCCGCACTCGCACTCGCGCACTTCCACGGAATTCTTATGACTTGGTAACTGCCGTGCCTGTTGTACTTTTATGTGTCGAAGTGGAATAAAGGATTGAAATGAGATCGTCGAGTGGAACTGAGTTGCTGCGCGTCACAGTGTTTTCCATCTCTCAGTGTTTAGCCCCTCGCGGCTGCAAGTTTTTGTTTTGCGTTGTCTACAGCCGCTACATGTTCTATTTCATCAGAAACGATCTTGAAACAGGGCTTTAAGTGTAAAATACCGAACTTGTCCTTTAATGATCCACACTATAAACACACAAACACACACTAATAAGCACCATGCACAACACACGTTCAGTATGTCAGAATTCATACATGTTCACATGTTCAAGTCCCTGTGGTCCAAGTCTCAAGTCTTAGTTCTGGTTTTAGCAATAGTTCTTTCAGCTAGCTATTGTAATTAACAGTGTATTTATTCAAAATGGTCATTAATATCATTTTTATATATTAAGTCATTCTTTTGGAATATCAGTTTGAAGCTGAGGGGAACTGTCAGATAGGGTCTAAACTATTGTGAAAATAATATACAAGAAATAGGATTCAATGTTATTACATTTTAAATATGAAATATTATTTTTAATAAAAAGTAACCAGCTCTTCATAAAATATGTTTTTTTGCGGAAATATAAAAACGTGCAAAAGTTAGACCACATTTAAATGGTCATAAAAATAGAATGCATTTATTAAAACATACATTAAATATTGAAAAACATTAGGGTTAGGAGGAGTGTTTTAAAGTACGACGCCTGGAAATTGAAAATGGCTGACTTCCTGTTGGGTTTAGGGGATTGCCGCAAGAGGTTTTTTTATAGGTACTGGGATGTCACGTGTGTCGAATGTATGCAACAAGTAGCAGGACGGGCGCTTCGGTGAAAGTTTGTAGGTGGCGCTATTGAGCCGTTTTGAAATACCAAACTCTGAAAACTGTATTTGTTTGTTGAGATGGTTGTTGTAGGAGGTTTTCTGGCAATGTTTTATGCATGTTTTGCTTTATATTTTATGAATAGGGATATTTTTTACTCTGGGGAGAAAATCTAGCCTGGGAAAAGCTTCTTGCCAGGGACGTGAGATGTGAGTAAGCAGTGAATAAGGCTGAACTTATAGTCTCTGACTAAGATCCTTCCTTATAACATCCTTCCTTTTAACAGTGTAACATTGAACATTTATTGTAACAAAATACATTTACAAGAGAGCTTTGTAATGCTACACTTGTCTAATCTCCTTTAGGCATATTACATCATTAGAATTCCTCATCACTTTTTTTAAGATCACTTTTGTGCCTGTTAAATCTTGGAATGTAAAAGATCATGCTGGAAAACGCTACCTCACTGGAGGTGGACAGATCTCCACACTACTGTTAGTGACCCGTATTCCATACCAGCCTTTCCAGAACTGTATATCGTTCCCACCGTGAGTGAAGCGGATAAACCGAACACCAGGGCCATAATCTTTAAAGACGTGGGTCATCTGAAATAAAGCAGAACAAATACAGGGACAACGACTCTTGACTAAGTTTGACTTTAGAAGAAGAATTCCACTGCATGTGTTATTCGACTCACTTGACACCACGGCTCACCATTCCCATAATGAAAGCGAACGTTCTCAGGCTGAAAGGTTCTGATGGGGTTTTTCCCCTGATCGAGCAGCTCTACACAGATCTGATACTCACTCCCACAGTCAGCGCGAGGGGTATACCTGCAGATAAGACATCACATCAATGTGCTTTCATGTTAGAACTGATTTAACACTGCTACTGTGTTCTTAAAGTGATAGTAAAACACATAAAAATGAAAGTTGTGTCATCATTTACTCTCCCTGAAGTCTTTCCAAACCTCTATGAGTTTCTTTCTTCTGCGGAACTTCTGCCCTTTTTTTTCAGTTGTACTGTACAACAAAGCAATTATTATTATATACTTTACAGTACTTATATGGCAAACACAAATGAGGATTATTAATAGAACACAGCTGACATGGATTAACTAATAATAACTGTAAAAGTGGCGAGAATCTGAACAAAGACACATGACAACAAACTGAAAAGTCCATGAAAGCAAAACTAAACTGAACAGAATGGTGACAGGTGGCCAAGTGAGGTCTTTTTGGTCGTTTCTGCCTGGATTTCTAAGCAGCAACAATATGAGATCCTAAATGTTTATATACATATATACAACATAAATCACAATTTTGGCCCTACAAACAAGCAGAGCAAACCTGGACAATTTAAAATGAGATTTAAAATTTCATTCACAATTTTTGTCCGAAAAATCGCAATTTGATTTTTTCCCAAATCTTTCAGCCCAACATCAGAATAAAATCCAAATTTTCAGCTCTTTAAAAAAAAAAATATATATATATATTGTTATGCAGATGATTGTTCTATGATTAATTCTTTAACATACAGCTTTTCGAATATGTATTTTCCATAATCTAATCATACTGCGCAGATAAACAAAATATTGCAATAACACGTTTTCCGCCCAATATCATGCAGCCCTATAAAGTTTTGAAAACACCACCTAAGATGCTGTAAAATGGAGTTTCAGTGAATGCTCACCAGTCTGTTATTTTGATATGAGGTTGCAGATCCATGAAAGCATCACTGAAGCCTTTTTCCTTCAAATCAATGAGCTGTCGCTTCAAACATAACCTGAGGACAAAGTTTATGGGTGATTCATAGATGATTGATTTAGTTTCTTATTTTAACATTTCTTGAAGGATCTAAAATATCAAACATACCCGTAAGATGTTATAAAACATTTGGTGACCGTGTCATCTGGATGTGGTGTCCTATTGTTTTCTGGCACCCAGCCGTCACCCCCATTCTGTACAATCTCCCATCCTTCAAGTGCGTCTAAAAACATCACCAGAAAAGAGACATTAACTGAAGCAAAAATTATTATTTTAAATAGTGACTCTTAAAGTAGGTTAATTATGTGAATCACCTTCAGCTCTGGGATTTTTCAGCAAGTTGGACCTACAGGTGGAAACAGAAGTTACATTTCATATTCTGACAATAATACAGTAAATCAACTGAAACACAAATACTCTCATTATCACCTGACATTTCCATTTATTTTAATTTTTAATGTTTTGTTTCATGATATGCTTAAATATATCCTCGATCTGTTTTGTGCATAAAAAGAAATAAAAAAATTGAACAGATATGTTTTTCAGTAAAGTCTGAAGAGGTGAGCTCTTTTTACAAGGTGCACTTTCCACTTTATAATGGTTATAAATATACTCTATATATCTAAATACGTGTAACGGAGGCTAGTAGTCGCTGTGCGAGTAAACTTCACTCCTCTGATGTCAAGAGGCGCTCCAGGGACTGACTAAGTCACTGTCTTTATGAGTGATCAATCGAGTCATTCATTCAGTAATGAAGCGGCTTTATTTATGAATGAATCATTGACTCCCACGATTCGTTCAATGCCCCAGATTCATTTCATGAATGAATCACCGCTGTGTGCTGCAGTTCTGCCGTGGCTTTCGTTGGAACTATTTCGTTGGAAAATAGAGCAAAAAATACAGCATTTGAAAATGTACACCACTTAATATTGTCATGAAACAGAAGGATTCACACAGGTAAAGTGATCAACAGGTTTATTTACAGAAGTATGTGATCGCAACAATGGAAGCAGGCGAGTAACTGAAGAATATAGTGTTCTGGATGGATATCTGGATGAATAATGGTCTTATCTGTTGCAGGTACAGTAAGGATTGAGCAGAAAGCAGAATCACTGAAGGAGAAAATCTAAAATTGTAAGCCACCGTTATGGCGATCATTGTTTGCTTTAGTTGGACTCTTGAACCTTTTTATTATTAACTTTAGATTTTGTTTGGCTGTTGTCTCTGAGTTATGACTGCCAGATGAACAAAGAAAAATAGTATCTAATGGTATTGGTTATATTATGACAATCGTCATTTGATCTTTATGTTTGTAATTTATGCTGTTGGTTACAGCATAACTGTGATTCTGCATAAAAATCCAGAATTTTAGATATAATATAAAGGTTTTCTTAAAAGTTGTTTTAAAAAAAATCTTTCTATTAGGCACACACAAACGTCAAGATTCAGTCAATGCATCTCAAAAATGGTGACAAGCAGAATATTCAATTAGGAAAAGTAAATTACATAGACAATTCAGATCATAATTTATTCATACCGCAATGCATGATGGGAGCCATTAATGAGTTGTGATTGGTGGCAGCCACTGCAACGTGCATTATTATTGTCACCATTGTTGAGATTCACAGGCTGATTATTGATGTCAGTGTTTCTAAATAAATTCATTTGAAAGTGTTTTGATCAGAACAATGTTTATTAAATATTTTGGATTATAAGAAATATACTGATAATCATATGCTGTAGAATCACAAAGCTGTTGCTAACGAGTTAAACCAAACTATCACAATAAGTTTCATTTTTCAGCTCACAGCATGATTATGCCATAACATAACCAACACTATCAGATCACACTTTTCTTTGTTCATTTGACTGTTATAAATCAATGACAGCAGACAAACAAAAGATAAAGATGAAAGTATAAGATCAAGAGTCCAACTAAAGCAAACACTGATCGCCATAACGGTGGCTTACAATTTGTGATTTTCTCCTTCAGTGATTTTACCTGTTAACATCAGGTGTCTTCAATAATGCTCAATCATCACTAAATTAATCACTTAATTATCTCATTAACTTTAACACTCTTGAGAGTTAATTTAACACTCATATCTGCGGCCTTGTCCACACGAACATGGGTATTTTTATAACCAGAGTTTTTCCTACAGTGTTTTAAAAAAAATCCCGTCCACACATGCTCGGTCTCCGTCTACATGAAAACGCAAAAACACGCTATCAACCGCGGTCAAGAGCATGCCACGCCAGCAGGCGGCGATATAAACCTTAACCGTAAAGCCACGTTGGCCAATCAGACGCGCAAATCTGACGTCAAACACAGCGGATAACGGCGCACACTATGACGTCGCAAGGCAAAAACCCCGGTTTCACTGTCTACACGACAACACTGTAACCGGCGTTTCTGAAAATTCTCACCCTGGCAGGGGTTTTCAAAAATGTTTGGTTTCAGTGCGTTTTCGTGTGGACGAACGGCCGAACTGCGTAAAAAAAGTCACGGTTATAAAAATACCCGTGTCCGTGTGGACAGGGCCTGCATCATATCTTCCATCTGAAAGCAGGTGAAGGCGATTTACTACTAATCAAGGAACCGGCTTTACTGACGAGATGCGCATAACAATATCGTGCGATTTATCGCACAACGCATCCCTGAAGTGTCAGCAGAGATTGTGTCACCTAGACTCTCCGCTGTGAAGGCCTCATCGACACGACAGCCATCGGCACTGATCCTCAACAAACTCGTCTCCATACGTGTGTGACTCCGGTCTTCAACCAGATGAACTGGATAATATAATGTAACGATCCAATATGACTTCTGACCTGTAATGCTGCCTATCATAATCATACACTGTTCGTTCGTTGGCCAGAGGAGAACTGCCCCCCCGACTGAGCCTGGGTTCTCCCAAGGTTTTTTCTCCATTCTTTCACTGATGGAGTTTTGGTTCCTTGCCACTGTCGCATTTTTTGCCTCTCTTCGCTTTGGATGCCATTGGCTTTTGGATTTAACAATATTATTACAATATTATCTTCTGTAAAGCTGCTTTGAAACAATCTGTATTGTAAAAAGCGCTATATAAAAAAAGGTGACAGCGCAGTCCTGAAGTCAAAAAGATTCTGATTCGCATAGATACACGGAAACGACTAAAATTCTGTATTATGCAGGCCGGACAAGTAATTTGGCAATGTCAATTTGTAAAGAAAGTATACATCCGCAGAGGGTTAAAAAATATAAACATATATAAATAAATCTCACAGTAAATCAACACCGATGCCTTTTTATTTTCTGTCTTACATTAATGTCTTAAATTTAAAATTCAGTTTAAAAGTAAATTTTCAATTTTTTTTACAAAAGTACATTTTCTTTTGTTCACAGATTTGAGGAGAAATAAAACAAAATAAATTAATAAATAAATTAACTCACCTGTCTGTGGGCATTGAATGTGTTTTTGACTCCCATAGTTAAATTACCCACTACATGTTTATACTCACCTTGGGTCAGAGGTCCCTGCTTCATTACTGAAATTAAGAGGAGGAGTCAAGGATTGATCACTCAATCGGTCGGGTTCTGGAGATGCGCTCCCATCCCCCATAGTTAGAAACTGACGTTAGGCCTGCATATGGAAACAGAGAACAAATCATACATTAAACCAAAAAAACAAAATTAAAACAGATTTTGAAAGTTACATGCGATCTATGACCATTATACACTGTGAGCGCCCACTTTGGCACAGTTATGATGGCGCTCGACGGCGTATTTATGCGGGTTGATGTAAATGACAACTTTTTTGAAAACTATGTTGTGTGCACGATGTTATTATTGAAAACAGAGCGGGGGGAAATATTTGTTTCTCTAAATACCCAGCTATGTGTAAATGTGGCCTAAGAAAAGCGGGGATTAAACTCCAACCCCTGACTTGAATGAACCAAACAAATAAATCAGGGCTAAAGCGGTTTCATAAAAGGTAATTGAAGGTCACACAATCCCACTAAATTGATTCAGGTTTATCTAGTCTAGATAATTGTGTCAATCCACCATTAAACGGCATATTTCTATAGTCTCGTCCTGTCATGGCCGATTGGCCGCCCTTCCAGAGTCTCGTCCTTTGTCACGTTTTAGATGTTTGTTTCTTGTTCCTGTGTTCTGGTCTGTCATGTGATCCCCTGTTTTAGTCATGTGATCCTGCCTTGTGGTCCCTTGTCTGTTGTGTCATGTTGTCATTGGTTGATTGTTTAAATGTTCACAGGTGTCCCATGTCTCATCGTTAGTCCTGTATGCATTTAAGCCCTCTTGTTTGCCCTGTGTCTTTGTCAAGTATTGTTTGTTCCATGCCCACTCTCTGGTAGTCTTGTTTCCTAAGTCTATGTTTGTGTTCCTGTTTTTGGTCAGAGTTTTCATTCCTTGCCATGTTTTTGTTTGTAAATAAATTGCGTTTGGGTTCTCACCTCAGCTTTCCTTCAGTGGACCAGTCATATATATATCAACTTTAACATAAACATTTATATGTACAATATAATTAAACACGTTTGTCTATATTGTCTCATTTTTCATTGTCGCCTTATTTAAGTAGATTTTCTGTATACTGTAAATTTATTTTTGGATGGATAGTGGTTAATAAAGTAATAAAATAATGGTATGAGTGAGTGTCAGTGGTAATATCATTGTGTTCCTTTCGGTCAGTGTTAGAACCTTGTAACAACTGAGGCTTGGCCTGACAGTTACCCTGCGACCACGTTAGTTTCCCAGCATAAGTTGCCAGAGTAACTTGAGTTCGAAATATTTTAATTTGCTTTATGGAACAGAATCAATTGACAATAAGTCTGACAAACCAAAATAAGCCTGGCTTGTATTTTAATCTTGTTTTATGGAAAAACCCTCTGGACTCTTGCCACAACTCTTGTTAAAATCAACAAATTTCTCACTCTTGGTTATAATGAAAGCATTGTTTAGTGTTCAGAAATCAAGTTGCAATGACGAGATCGCTGTATACATGCACTTAACATGTTTGTGATCGGCTACAATGCTCATCACTGCAACATTTAATGCCACGATCTAAATATAATGCTATAATCAACACTTTTCACCATTAGGTAACCTTAACAGATGTAATAGTAAAAAAGTGCAAAAGGTATCAGACAGACACACCCCTTCAAAGAGAGCCTTCAAATCAGTGGCTAAAATCAGGACAGGAAAAATGCCTTCTATTTCTAAATTATAACATACTAACATTTTAAGTGCACAACAAGAAATATTATGAAACAATAAAACAATACAGTTCATGACCCCTTTAATAGACTTTGTTCTCCCTCCACAATAATGAGTTTCAGTATATTCAAGTGATGCAGTTAAACAATCAGATACAAAAATCACATTTGTTGTTGATTATTTTGTTGTAGCTTAGACAATGACATTCTCCCACAATAACATTTGTTTAATAGCAAGATATTTTTTTTTCAAACAAGTAGACGTGAAGCGACACAAAATACTACATGACTTCTATAGGCTACTTGTTTAAAATGTGAACTAACAATACCTGATTGGCAAATCTTTACTCTTTTGAGACGGTTCTAGAATTTTCGGAGCATGATGAAGTCGGTATAAATATGTGTTTAATACTACAAAATATGCCCAATGGTACAGTTACTGCACTTGACATGACCCTTTAATCAACAAAGTTTTTGTTAATCTTTTATCATATGTCTTGGAGTATCATAATAATATGGTATCGTGAGTTCAGGATCATGGTATTGAATCATGACATGAGGGTATAGTTACACCCCTACTTGTTTTAGATTGTGTCTGATTTGTGATACGTTCACAATCTCATGTCTAGTTTTAGTGTTTCTCACAGTTCTGGCCTTGTTGTTTTGTGTAATATTGACATGTCTGAGCACATTAATAAAAACAGTCCAAAGCCATTAGATAAATCAGCTTATAAGTTTTTGTTGGGTCATATCATGGCTCAAATGGACGATTTGTGAAATATTTCACCGTGCAGTTTTGGTCATTTAGCCTATATGGGGAGTCCTTAACTTCAATATTCTGGTTTGTGAAGGTCTGGTTTAACTGACCAAAACTGTAGTGTTAAACATTTCACAAATCATAGTGGATCTGAGCCACATATGACCCGACAAGATGACCAGTCTTTATACTTAAAAGCGGATTAAACTAACGCCAAGAACTTCACAGATCGACGCATGGCTACCAAGCGCACTCATGTTTTATTTAATGTTTACATTTCCTCCTCTTTAGATTTCCTTCAGATGAATTTGTCCAGCTTCATCCACTTTTACATGCATGTTAACTCTATAATGCTATAGTTAATATCTTAAGATCAAGTTTAATATGATAAAACATTGTACAATAATATGACATGGTAACAGAAACTGATAAATGAACTTACCGTGAAGGGTGATATTTATGAGATCTTAAGTCTCCAAAATGCGCACTTTCCTATCGAATTTACTTACGATTTTGACACAAAAACTGTGAAGAATCCGCATGCTATAAGAAGTCCTCGAGCACAGAGCTGCGTTCCAGTCCAAAATTGTCATGCCCTTCACTCGCTAACTTATTAACTTTATTCATTTATTAATTAACTTTTTTGTATTATTATTGCAGAACTTATACAGAACTACCAGCTAAGCAAGGTTATATCTTTTATAATTAACAAACAATGATACATAACAGAAAACATAAATATCCTAGGTTTGCAGTAAAAAACAAAACTTGAAAAAAGTTGAAATGACTGATGTTGTGTTGATTCAGCAAAAATCTACACTGTTACAGTTGTTCTGAATTGTTAAAACACATTTCTTGAAACCATCACTCTCTCAAAACCTTAAACAAAACCACATTTTCAAACCCCATTCAGAGAACCTCTAGCTGACTGGCAGAATTAAACAATTGCCTCAAAACCATTTTATCTGTGTTCAAAATCAAACAATGCTCTCAGATCATACATACAGCAAGTCAAAATTATAAACAATGCTCTGAATCCAATGATACATTTTTTTTTTATTTAGACACATAGACATCAAGAATCAGCCTGTGAATCTCAACAATGGTGACTATTATAAAGCATGTTGCAGTGCATTCTGGGTGCCACCAATCAAAACTCATTCATGGCTCCCATATCATGCATTGCTGCATGATTAAATAACGAGGTTAATTGTCTTAATCATTTCCTTTATTCTTAATTTCTGCTGTTTTTAATGTGACTTTTTAGTCGCTTGTTTTCTAATTTTCAGAGTTGATCTGTTAATCTGAATTTGCTGTTTGTCACCATTGCTGAGATTGATGTCTGTAGTAGCTATAGCTATGTTTCCATCCACACATTTTTATCCGAATTAAGTGATATCGAATGAAAAATGCCTTATGAAAACAGAAAAATTCGATTGATTTTCATGAATATCGACTCAAATAAAATACATTAGGTCTCATCGGATTTTATCTTGATTGATATACGGCTTATGTGATAAACGCTGATGGAAATGTTATTTGCTGAATAAATAATGAAGTGTGATTAAGTTTTAGGTTCTGGCAACACACCACAAAATATAGAAGAAGGAGTTTTATTTCATTTCCGCCCAGTATTTCTGCTCTGTTTGCGCACACATGGCGGGTGTCAACAAAGACAGATGTAAGTGGACAAATTAAAAAAAATGCTTCAACCAAAGGGTTTCCGTGAGGTGTGTCTGAACCACGATCTCCCTAAAGAAAAAACACAATTTCCACAAGAGATGGCATTGCTCATGAAGGTTAGATTAGGAAATGGGTAACTTGCCAGGAAAAAAGTTACACTTTAATAGGAAAGACAGGCCAAGTTTGTTGAAGATATTAATGAAAAACCATAATGATGACACTGGGTTCACAAGGCATTTTTTCAGCCAGTTTACTTTAAAGGTGTTTATAGTATCAGCAAAGTCCAAAAGGTCAAGGCCACCTTCACCTCTGGAATTAGAGAGTACTTCTCTTTTTAATTTGTGAGGCCTATTTTTCCAAAACAGAAGTTATGGCCGCACCACATGATATTTTGACACTTTAAATAACAAAAACATTACAAATAACTAAAGGTTTTTGAAAAGTTAAAGTGAGTACACACATGGGAGAGGTAATACAGTATCTTTTTATGCATTTAAACCCGTTTTTGCAATTGGACAGAAAAAGTAGGCGTCACGTATCATTGTGTTCCTGTCGGTCAGTGTTAGAAGAACGTTGTAACAACTGAGGCTTAGCCTGACAGTTACCCTGCGACCACGTTAGTTTCCCAGCATAGCTGCCAGAGTAACTTGAGATTGAACTATTTTAATTTGCTTTATGAAACAGAATCAACCGACAATAAGTCTGTCGGTATTTATGGAATGGACCACCGGAGGCAACAGCAACATTTCAAAGTGGCTTGTTTGGTGCATATTTTTCCATGTTGCTCCATGTAACTCTCTCAGTCTCGGCCCCCCTTCGCTACACAGCAAAATCCCCAGTGTTAAAAGGGGGGTGAAATGCTGTTTCATGCATAGTGAGTTTTTTACACTGTTAAAGAGTTGTATTCCCATGCTAAACATGGACAAAGTTTCAAAAATGAAGTTGTAA